TTCAGTAACCAAGCTAAGCAACTGCTAAGTATATCAATGGTGCCTCTTTCAAAATTGTGAATGCCATATAGCATCTGGCTTAAAACATGAATCAAATTCAATAACTGGAAAGTTGTTGCATAATGCTCAGGTGACCTATAAGGCCCGTGGGCCTCTTATATAAAAACACTATGAATATGTTTATATATGGAAATGATGCAGTGTTAAATGATATGGCAAAATTTTCTTTTTTAGCTTTTAAAGAGAGGAAAAAGTTCATTGAGAATTTAATGCGTGATAATACCCCCGGTATATAATCATAGTTCATATTTTTTTTCCATAATGTATATTTAATGCCTGATCTGAAATTGTAAATTTAACATTGTAAACCATGATAATTGTACTTTGGGCCGGTGGCCTGCAATACTTAATTAATACAATAAATATCTTGTATCTTGAAAAAAAAAAAAAGGAGTTGGATGTAATGACCTGTTGATCGAAAACCCAGAAGAAGTCTCGCTAAGATTTACAGAAATGATTATGAAAAATCAAAAAAAATGTGTCTTTCACATTTTACCCATATTTGAAAGATACATCCAAAAAGTCGCAGAGACCAACAGGAAACTAAAGGAGTTATGCGAGGAAAATGGTGTAAACTTCCTCAAAATGAACAAAACCCTCAAAACTACACAAGGGATGGGATGCATTTTAGTAAAGTAGGAAGAAAAAATCTGATCGTCATGATATAACTACACCTTTATCCACATTTGGGTATGAAGCCATACAGCCAACACCAAAGGCCTGAATCACAAAAAGCATCTGTACCACAAAAGAGAACATCACCAAAATAGTCAAAGTCATTATCAACAGAGAAAACTATATCACCACATTACCCAATGGCACGCGAACCATGAATGGCAACAGTTCCAATACATTAAAGAACGATTCCACCAAAATAATCATCAACTACAAACAAAACCCAGAACCAAATCGTTGAAGAACAAACATCGAAGGGATCTCAGATGAAAGAGCTTCTTGAACAGTTGCTAAAAATCCTATAGATACACGAAAGATCAGTATGATACATGTACCAGTCATTCAATCCAGTCACAATCTATGCCATAAAACTCCTTTATTACATGTTTTTTTAATGTTCAGCACAACAAAATATAAAAGTTTTAATGATTGCTCATTTAGTAAAGAATGTTTACATTATTACACATTTTTAGGTCACCTGAGTAAACTCAGGTGACCTATTGCTATCCGTTTTCGTCCGTCGTCGTCCGTCGTGTGTTAACATTTGAACATTTTCAGCTTCTTCTCTGCAACCACTGAACCAATTTCAACCAAATTTGGCACAAAGCATCTATCGGTGAAGGGGAACACAAATTGTGAATTTTGTGATCCCTGCCCCCCTGGGGCCTGAGGGGTGGGGCAAAAACCACTAAAATTAATGCAATCTTTAAAAATCTTCTTTACTCCTGGACATCAAGCAGTCAAACTCTTTGCATGATTGTAATCAGCAATGAGTCCTCTACCAAAATTGTGAAATTCATGGCCCTGGGGTCAGGGGTTCTAGTGCTAGGGCGGGGCTACATAAGTATATAGTGAAAATGCATTATTTCTTTGAAAATCTTCTTCTCTGCTCCTGGGTATTAAATAAACCAACAAAGTACATAGTTATGATGAGAAAGAGTGCCTCAACCAAATTTGTGAATTTTATGGCCCCAGGGTCAGGGGTTCTGGTGTTGGGGGGAGGGGCTCTATTGATTATATAGTAAAAATACATGATTTCTTTGAAAATCTTCTTCTCTGCCCCTGGGTATTAAATAAACCAAGTAAGTAAATAGTTATGATGAGCAAGAGTGCCTCTACCAAAATTGTGAATTTTATGGCCCCAGGGTCAAGGGTTCTGGTGTTGGGGGGGGGTTATTGATTATACAGTGAAATTACATGAATTCTTTGAAAATCTTCTTCTCTGCTCCTAGGTATTAAATAAACTAACTAAGTGCATAGTTATGATAAGCAAGAGTGCCTTTACAAAAATTGTTAATTTTATGGTCCCAGGGTCAAGGGTTCTGGTGTTGGGGGGGGGGCTCTATTGATTATATAGTGAAAATACATGAATTCTTTGAAAATCTTCTTCTCTGCTCCTAGATACTAAATAAACTAACTAAGTGCATAGTTATGATGAGCAAGAGTGCCTCTACCAAAATTGTGAATTTTATGCCCCAGGGTCAAGGGTTCTTGTGTTGGGGGGGGGGGGGGAGGGGCTCTATTGATTATATAGTGAAAATACATGAATTCTTTGAAAATCTTCTTCTCTGCTCCTAGGTATTAAATAAACTAACTAAGTGCATAGTTATAATGAGCAAGAAAGCCTCTACAAAAATTGTGAATTTTATGGCCCCAGCATCAATGGTTCTGGTGGGGGGGGGGGGGGCTTTATTGTTTATAAAGTGAAAATACATGAATTCTTTGAAAATCTTCTTCTCTGCTCCTAGGTATCAAATAAACTAACTAAGTACATAGTGATGATAAGCAAGTGTTCCTCAACTAAGATTGTGAATTTTATAGCCCCAGGGTCAAGGGTTCTGGTGTGGGGGGGGCTTTATTGATTATATAGTGAAAATATGTTAATTCCTTGATTACTGATTAGTTGGAGTGCATTTTTGTTCCCCTACCCTGCATATGGGTATTCAGTAACCAAGCTAAGCGACTGCTAAGTTTATTGTTATGATGATCAATGGTGCTCTTTCAAAATTGTGAATGCCATATAGCATCTGGCTTAAAACATGTTATTGAATCAAATTCAATACACTGTAACTGGAAGGTTGTTGCATAATGCTCAGGTGACCTATAAGGCCCGTGGGCCTCTTGTTTTTAGTGCTATGAATTTTGTGTTTGCATAAATCGCTCTACATCTCTCTGAGATTCTAACTTTTTTTTGGACATCCGAGATACCATGCCTATTCTTTGAACAAGTCCTGAAAATACAACAAGTGATTGACTACGCAGAACAGTTAGGTGTAAGGTACGCAATTTTGTAATTTAAAATGTATTAAAAATCGGGATGGCGATAATTTTATTATAGTATTTATATCGAATACTTGTTATTATGAAACTTTGTTACTGTCAATATCTTTGATCCATATGCGACGAACACAACCTCCAGAAATATGACCATCCTTATAAGTTCACTATGCCTGACTACGTACCTCTGAACAGGAAGGACTCGGCAACCCACAGGGAGGCAAAGAGGAAGACGTGTAATGTTGTTGAGCAGACACAGGAGACCCTGCCTGAGGAAGCCGGGCCATTCCATCACTCTCCATCCCCTTTCAACCCAGTCCTGGTGTGCCGTAAACGTATTGTATATTTTATTTCGATCGGGTTCGATATTCTGTTTATTCTAATTATGGCGGCCATGCGGTTTGCCTCTCAATTTTCCTCTTAAATCTGGCGTAGTTGGCCTCCCTAAGAAGTAAGTTTTGTATTGTTTTACCTGAATTTGTATCTAACTTGATCATTTGTATCTTATAGTATTATGCATTATTACCTATTATGTTTAAATTCTGCAATTACAATGTTTGTGTAAACGCGCTTTTTCGGTCTGCCATAGGCATAGGCCTGCTTAGCTTACATTTAAAGTAACACATCTAATTTTGTATAATTATTTCTCTATTTTGATATTCTGTCAAATTCTTATTGTGCTTTTGTAATTTGTAGTTTTTCACCCTCTCACGAGGTTTGGCCAATAAACGGTACAGTGAAAAATTCTTAATTCCTGGCCATTTGTATGGAGCTTCGTCAGTCTAGGAAGATGACAGCACAAGGATCCCACCAGTTTGAGGAAAGTGTTTTAAGCTTTACATCAAAGCTATCCATGATTAAAAGAGACATTGATCATATTATTTCTGAGTCAGAACATGGTGTAGAGCTCGCACAGAGTCAACAGATTATTGACAGTGTACAGAAACATTTGGAAAATGATGAAGTTCTTAGTAACAGTTATGAAGCATTTTTGAAAGGTCACAGAAGTGTAGAAAGTGCAAATGAACAGTCTTCACACAGACTAATTCGAGCATCTTTACATGCCAAGACTACTGCTTTTATCGAACTGTTACAGTCCGCACTGCCGAAGATGGAGTCATCCAAGGCACCGTCATTAGTTCCCTCACCGTTGTCTGGATGCAACATTCTGCCAATGTTGAGAAAGCGAAGGCTCGGTTGAAGTATGCAGCTGAGGAGGCTGAACTAATTAGACCAGAAGCTGCTCTGAAAGACAGTAGGAACTCCTGATTGGAAGGGACCTGGTTACCGCACACCATGTGCTGGATCAACGTGTTGGAGAAGAGGGACTTCCTTATGGCCAGAAGTTACCCCTAGGCTGGGTTATCATCGGAGATGTTTGTTTGGGCAAAGTGCATCAACCAGAGGTGATTAGTGTAAGTAAGACTCTAGTTCTAATGAATGGAAGACCCACTTATTTACTGCCCTGTGGAAATGAATTCCTTGTGGAAGAGGAGCCTATCTTCCAACCTTACCAGGGGATGAGAAACCAGGGTTGTCGATCGAAGATCGTAAGTTCCTAGACCTCATGGATACTAGTTTCAAGAGAACCTCCGATGGTCAGTGGCAAGCACCGTTACCTTTCTGTGAATGTAGACCAGTCCCACCAGATAACAAGTCACTTGCCCTTAGAAGAGCCAGATCATTAGACATCAGCTTGAGATGTAACCACCTTAAACGGGAACAAGTTAGAGAATTCATGGAGAGGTTATTCATGAATCATCATGCTGAGTTAGCACGTGAGTTACCCCTGTCATTGGAGCGATGGTACTTACCTATGTTTGCAGTGTATCATCCCAAGAAGCCAGACAACGTGCGCATAGTGTTTGACTTATCCGCCAAGTTCCAGGACGTTTCCTTGAATAGTGTCTTACTTACAAGGTCCGGACCTGTGTAACAGCCTGCTTGGTGTTTTGCTTAGATTCCGCAGAGAAAAGATAGCAGTCACCATGGACGTTGAGCAGATGTTTCACAATTTCAAAGTTCCTGAAGACCAGCATCGTTACCTGTGCTTTCTATGGCACTTGGACAATGACTTGAATCAGCCATTAGTTGACTTTCAGATGACTGTTCATGTATTTGGCAACAGTCCTTCGCCGGCAGTTGCAACATTTGGTCTCAGGAAAGTAGTCGAGGGATCGGCAGAAGATATAAGGGATTTGGTGTGTAACAACTTCTACGTTGATGATGGTCTTTTGTCCAGTACAACAGAAGAGGAGGCCATAAGTCTTGTGCATCGGACCAAGAAAGCCTTACAAGATGGTGGAAACATTAGACTCCACAAATTTTCCTCCAACAGTAGGAAAGTATTAGATTCATTCGCCCCAGATGACCTGGCCAAGAACTTGAAAGATCTCGACTTTGGATCAACTGCCCTCCCAACACAACGAAGTTTAGGATTGTTATGGAACACAGAGATGGACAAATTTACATTTAAGGTTAACCCAGTGGAGAAAGCCTACACAAGACGTGGACTGTTATCTACCATAAACAGTGTGTATGACCCTATTGGATTCGCTCAACCTGTGGTTATCAGAGGGAAGCTATTGTTACGCGAGATGACGTCCGTAACAATGAATACAGACTGGGATGAGCCGTTACCCGCGTTTTTACATGATGAGTGGTCAGCATGGGTCGATTCTCTGAGTCAACTGGAAAACTTTTGTGTGCAAAGGAGTTATAACAGTTCATTCGTTAACTCAACAAGACGTGAAGTTCTTGTATTTTGTGATGCGTCAAAAGACATTATTGCCGCAGTGGCGTATCTAAACTTCAGGACAATGACATGTTTAGTACCAGTTTCCTGCTTGGGAAGGCCAAGGTTGCCCCAGTCCATGGGCATACTATTCCACGGCTCGAGCTGTGTGCGGCCGTATTAGCTACAGAAGTTGCCGAGTTTGTGAGAGATCAGCTGAACATTCCGTCGCAGGACTTTCGTTTCTTTCCAGACAGTCAGATAGTGCTAGGCTATATCTCGAATGAAAGTCGCAGATTCTATGTTTATGTTGGGCACAGAGTAGCATGCATTCGTCTGTTTAATCATCCTTCCCAATGGAGGTTTGTTCAGTCCGAGCTTAATCCAGCTGATGTTGCTACCAGTCCTGTGCACCCTTCTACTCTTCAAGATTCAAGCTGGATTCTTGGACCGCACAGTTCGCTCAGTACTTCAACTGAGGACTTTAAATTAGTGGATCCAGAGCATGATATCGAGATTCGCTCAGATGTTACCTGCAGCAAGACTGACACAGCAGATGTCACACAGTCAAATCATGAGGAAAAACCTTCAACTTGTCAGACAGAAGTGTTTTCTGAGAGATTCACTAGATTTTCTAGTTGGGACATGCTCGTACGTGTGGTTGCTCGCTTGAAGTTCATGACTAGACAGTTTCAGAACAAAAACAAGTTATCTGGTGGTCCTAGTGACCCAGAACTCTTGAAGGAGAGTGAGCGCTCCATCATAGTATCTGTTCAGAGAGACGTGTTCAGTGCAGAATTTCGGTGTATAGAGGATGGGACTGACATTCCGCGTTCTAGTGCAATCAGACCTTTATGTCCAAGAATTGTTGCAGATGGACTGCTACATGTTGGTGGACGATTGAACAAGGTACCTGCGGATTTGCTAGATGATGTCATGCGCAACCCTATTATCCTACCGAAGAACAACCATCTCAGTTACCTCATCATACGTCACTTCCACCAGAGGATATTTCATCAAGGCAGACACTTCACAGAGGGAGCTGTACGTTCCGCTGGATTCTGGGTAGTGAGTTCGAGACGGATGACGGTTTCAGTAATAAAGAGCTGTATTGTGTGTCGTAGACTTCGTGGACATCCAGGATGGCAGCATAAGGCAGATCTTCCGGAAGATCGTTGTAAACCATGTCCGCCATTTTCTTATGTGGGTGTCGACACCTTTGGCCCATGGCCTGTTGTGCATCGCCGAACCAGGAGTGGAAGTTCAAGTCAGAAACGTTGGGCTATTCTGTTTACCTGTTTTGTGACTAGGGCGATTCACATTGAGGTTATTGAAGAACTTACCAGTGGTGCATTCATAAATGCTTTGAGGCGTTTTATCGCAGTCCGTGGTCAAGTCACACAGTTCCGCTCTGACAGGGGGACAAATTTCGTCGGCGCAGTGAATGACCTCGACATTGATGCTGAATTCATAGAAAATGGTCCTGTTTCCAAGTTCCTGTCAGATTCTAGGATTGCTTGGAAATTCAATCCCCCACATGCCCCTCACATGGGAGGTGCATGGGAAAGACTCATCGGTGTTTCAAAGAAGACTTTGAACGCTATGCTACTGGATCACAGACTGAAGGACATCACACATGACGTACTGATTACTTTAATGGCTCAGGTGTGTGCTTTTGTTAACAATAGACCGTTAACAGATGTTTCAAGTGACCCAGAAGCTCCGACATTACTTACCCCATCAATGCTTCTGACAATGAAGACCAAACAGGACACCGAGCCTTTTCCGTCATTTGGTACCAAGGACGCTTTAAAGTCTACATGGAAGCATGAGCAAGTGTTGGCCGAAGAATTCTGGCATAGATGGAAAACAGAGTACCTGCATAACTTACAACATCGTAGGAAGTGGCAAGGCCAATCCTTAAACTTAAAGCCCGGTGACTTAGTGTTAATGATGGAGGATGACTCTCCGCGCAACGAGTGGCCCACCGGTATCATACAAAGGACATTCCCTAGTCAAGACGGAAAGATCCGTAACGCTGAAGTTGCAGTTTGTAAGGACAACAAACTTGTGGTGTATGTGCGACCGATCACCCGACTTATCACCCTTCTAGAGACTGATTGACATTTGAACTCTGTGTGATCTATTAGTACATGTAGCATATTTGTTAGGTCAGAATTGATATGTCGTATTCATTTGGCATTTATGTGTATCAGTTAGCTCAGTATGTACATTGTATAATGTCAGGTTATGTTACAGTTGAGTTGTATTTTTTAGTTAACATTTTTGGTAGATAAGTGATTTTAGGTAAAATCAGAGGGGGAGTGTGCCGTTTACGTATTGTATATTTTATTTCGATCGAATTCGATCTTCTGTTTATTCTAATTATGGCGGCCATGCGGTTTGCCTCTCAATTTTGCTCTTAAATCTGGCGTAGTTGGCCTCCCTAAGAAGTAAGTTTTGTATTGTTTTACCTGAATTTGTATCTAACGTGATCATTTGTATCTTATAGTATTATGCATTATTACCTATTATGTTTAAATTCTGCAATTACAATGTTTGTGTAAACGCGCTTTTTCGGTCTGCGATAGGCATAGGCCTGCTTAACTTACATTTAAAGTAACACATCTAATTTTGTATAATTATTTCTCTATTTTGATATTCTGTCAAATTCTTATTGTGCTTTTGTAATTTGTAGTTTTTCACCCTCTCACGAGGTTTGGCCAATAAACGGTACACCTGGTTAGTTGCTGCAAAGAACGTTCTACTGATGATTGTGTTTTTACAGTGCTATACAGTACTCTGACCTGAGCTGTCATAAGTTGACATTCCTAGGTTGTATGCAAGTATACATAGGAAAATGCTGTTAGAATTTCCTTAAGAAAAACAACGCTATTAGTATAATTGATCTTCATTATAAAATCATAAAAATAAAATAAATTTGTTCAACCCCCCCCCCCCCCCGTTTTACATGGCTCAGTAGCTCAGGTGAGCGATAATGGGGCCCCTTGGCCACTTGTTTGTTTTTCTGATGATGATCAAGAGATTGTTTTCTGCAATAATTTTATGCATTAATGCTTTCAGTGATAATGAAAATCATCGCGCAAACTAATCGCTCAATCTCATCATCAAACGAAAAATTAGACGGTTATTCCATAATTGACAGCTTAAATATATAGATGTACGTTTACTCAATATTGAGATAAGGAACTAATGTATTGAAGTTAAGAGAGTATGCGAAAAAACAAAGCAACAACAGATTCCACAAACAAAGAAATAAAAACAATTGAAGAATGGCTGAGATATGCTAAAGACTGAGATGGGGGCGGAAAAAAAGAACAGACAAGAAAAGAAGGAAAGATGAGACTTGGGAGAGGGAAAGTGGCAGTGCCTAACTTTTTTGTGTTAAAAGATAATTTTTTTTCCAATTCCAATTCCAGAAGGCTTAGTTTTTAAGCGCCCGGCTCGATAGATCGAGGTTTGTCATGTCTATCTGTTTATCTGTCTGTTAACTTTAACCTCTGCCTTAACTTTGGAGCATGAAATATAGAGACTTCAATTTATAGTATTTTACTCCACTAATTTAAAGTTCTTTCAAATGATCTTGTGACCTGGACTGACATATAAGCTACAAAATAGCATTTTCGAACTTTTGTCATAACGATGGCTCATCAGTACCAAAAGACGTTTGCTCAATATCATAAGAATACAGTGGCCCAATATTCTCTGTTACATTGGCCAAACAATAAGCAAACAAGTTGGTCTGATTAAGGGCCGATGAGCAAATTACCGTCGGCCCAATGTTAAATGCATACGGTGGCCCAATATAAGGAGTAATATTTTGCCCGGCAAAGGTCCAATTACATCCTGCTATCTGGAAATTAACCTCGTTTTTGAAATTTATACGCCAAGCATGCTTTGGCGTATGGAATCAACTGAGATATATATATTCCGTATATGAATATAAAAAGAGGTTTGCTAAAGATGGAGCACAATTGGTATCCTAAGTAATTCCAATAAAATGTTGGAATAAAACCATATAGACATTGTCAATCAGAAACTCAAGCATATTTTTGATGTCAGCTCCAGAGTTATGTGCATTTAAAATGTGTTTAAACAAAATAATTTTGCAAATGACCAATGACAAGGTCAATAAATTTACGAGTTCCATTTTTATTGAAAAGCCGCTTTCAATGATATCAACAAGCCTGGACTTTAATTTATCGCGGGGAATGGTTATGTATAAAGTTGAAAATTCCTAAGTTTTCAAGCTTGTAATTTTAGTAAAATCTTGCGATTTCAAATTCCAAAAGTTGTATGTTTCATTGAACATCACTATATCATAGTCACTTAAATGTCACTTAGAAAAACCTCCTGTATTTGGTACATCTCTATTCAAAGTTCATTTCGTCTAATATGCTGGAAATTGAAAGTCTTATTAGGTTTTCCAATGTTGAGATTTTCAGTGATTTTCTTACATAAGTCTAGATTACGATCTGCTTGCTAGGGATCAGCTTGCTAAAACCTTCTTCACAGTCTGCTGTGCTGACAGGAGCAGTGAGTATGCGCTTAGCAGCAGGCGCCTCAATGAGAAACATTTCTGTACCTCTCAATGCTACTTGACAAATGTCTACCAACTTCACCCTACCATGACTCGACCTTCAGAACTCTCCATTATCCCCCCACCTTGGCTACCTTGCATACAGAAAATTGTCTTCAGAAGGGGGATTCCTATCAGCGACTGTCCGAGACTCTAAAAACCTACTCAAAGCTGACAAAACCAAAGCATGGCCCCTATCTGTAAACCTAGATTTCAAATCATCCCTAATAGCCTCTATACAAGACTATCCCGTACTGTGCGATATCGGAACTAAAATCGGATTCAGCAACTGCTTGCGCAAAAGGATCATGCTGAAGAAAGGCAGACAAAAAAGGAGCTTTACAGGGCCAGAGATTGATTTACGTTCAGCAACTCAGATTTACTGTTGATTTTCTTGCTTAATCTAGCAAGAGTTCTTCTGAACCAGGAAGTGGACATTTAACCCTTTCTCTACCGGCACATTTTCAGCGTTTTTGCAAACCTTTTGACATATCCTTATAAATCAATTTATAACTTTTTTATTCAAAGAGTAATCTAGGCATAATGTATACCATTTTGTAGGGAATTTTCTTGAGATGATATTTCATAACTATGCAGGTACCTCACGACTGACCTTGCTAGTGGCAATTGAGGTCAAAGGTCAAATTAGTGCAGAATTTTATTGCATTTCTTGACACATTTTAATTTTCAAGTTAAAAATTAAAAGTGATACACATTGAAATAGGAAATTCAGAATTAACCCACAAAAGGTCATTATCCTGTACTACATTAATCACATTAACTTTTTTTTCAATTCTGCAAATAATGACTTTAAAGAGGTTGCTAAGCAACGGAGTATTTTTCAATTTTCAGGCAGTATTTCTTGTTTTTTGCTCATCCCACACACATTTATGCATTCCATTATATTGTAAAGTCAAATGTGGGGTAATGATACTGAAATAATATACCAGATAATTGTCTTAAAGTTTGACTTCATCAGATTCACTTTTTTTGGAGGTCAAAGGTCAAATTGCATAATTTCAGAAATTTTTCCCAAAACTTTTCATCTTTCTTAAATTTGTAACAATGGATGCTAAAGAAGAAAATTTTGAATTTACTCTTTAGAAGGCAGCATACTGTATTGCAATATCCACATATTATTTTTGTTCAAATTTGTGTTAAATGACCTTTGAATGGTTGCTAAGCAACACCAATATTCAATTTTTGGGCTTTATAGGTTTCTTACTTCTTATTCTAGACAGTTTTCCATGGTATCATTTGTAAGATATAAGGTCAAAAATAATGTATAAAACATCCAACAAATAATTGTCTTAAGTATTGACCCTGAAATTTCTGTTCTTTGGGGGTCAAGGTCATATCAGTACAGAAATCTGCCTTAAATTGTAAGTATATATCAAATTTGAAATGCTGCAATTATTATGGACATATTGTCCAATAACTGACACATAAAATTGTAAACAACAAAATCAACAGAGATATCACAAAAGTGAATAGTTTTGTTTTACTTTGTTTTTTTTCTTTTTTTCCAAATCTTGGTTGTCATTCAAAAAATATATATCTCTGACTTAAGTAAACTGGAACAAAATTTGTAAGATGTGATCTCAAGTATTTCAATCTTAGTGACGAATACTATAAAATCATATTAAGGTAAAAATGTATTGCAACCAGTATCATTTTTTAATTACACAAAAGAGAACTTATTTTGTCATTTTCAAAAACTTAGTCAAACACATTCTTTGTCATCTAGAATACATTGTTTAAGAAAACATTTACAATTTTTTTTTCTTACAAGAATTATTTTACATTTTCAAGTCTTTACTGGGTCACTTGTTAAAACAACTTTTGTCATTTTATAAGCATATGAAAAAACAGCAAAGATGGACAAGCACAAAACTTCAGCTACAATCTTTCATTCATCCAGTTTATGTGGTGTATAATTAGTGAATTTCAGTATCCAAGGATTTCTTAAGTATTTGCTACTCTTCTCACAAACCCTTGACTTATGCTGTCAAAAGTCAGAATTCCTTATATCACATGACATGATCTTGAATAACCACTTGCATCACTGATAGAAATAAAGAGCATTCCTAAAGTTGAAGTATCCGGCAAAGAATAATTAACAAGCAGATAGGCTTATTTGCTAGTAAGTTTGCAGGTTTTTATCTCTAACTTTAGATTCCAGATTTTATTATGTGCACATCATCTTCATGTTGAATGAACTCTCTGCCATCTCTCTGAAAGACCAAGGAAACTCCTTTGATTTGACCGAGGCATGATCAGTTTCTAAATGTATTCTGTCCCGACTCCTGTAATAAATTTTAAAAAAAAGTTTTGAAAAAGCTTTTCTAATCGAATATGTACTTTTTATCAGATAATTCAGTTTATACAGAAATCTACAATTGGCACTTTCCTTTTATAATATTGTTAAAAAGTCTTTATAAAGCATATCATATACAATGTATATTATATTATATATGTCATATTTTGTCATACTTGTAGTTAAATGGTTTGGGGAAGTCAATGT